AGGATTAAATAAGACTACACACACACACACATACACACAAACACACATGCAGTGTTCATAATGGGAAAAGTGAAATATTTGATAGATTTAAATGACAATGTACACCTCTGGTATTGTTTTCATACTTCAAGAGTTATGATCATGGGTGCATATGCATGGTGAACTGGTGCAGTTCCCTGAGCTTGGAAAGGGTAATAAAGTTACCCTACTCGATTGTCGATTTAAAAAAAAAAATGCTGTCTTTCATAAGCCTGATCAAACACATTAGATAGAGCCATGTAATAGTTTTTTGTTGCTGTTTGTTTATTTGTCTTGATTCAGTTTTCAGGCCGTGGCTAGAGACTAGTCACTTCCCCTTTTTGAGTATCTGAGTAAGTCCACATTCCAACCTCATTCTGTGTCAGACCTTTATACTCTGGGCCACCATGCACCAGATCTAATGGGAATAGCTTCTATGCTCCAGGATCTGCCAAATTTATTCAAATTAGCCAACCCTCAGGAAGCTCCAAGAAGCCTAGCTTATTTTACCCCATTTGCCACACCTAACCCGCTCCCTTTGCTGTTACAGTTCCAGGGTGCTGCTATACTGCCCCTGGGTGAAACCAGTGTTTCTGCCCAGCAGCCTCTCCCTTTCAATGCTGGAAGAGTTTGCCCAGTGCCAATGTGTATGTTCCATCATCAAAATCTTATGAAAACAAAGCCATCTAGTATTTTCAGTAGTTAAAAAATAATTAAGAGAGAGAGAGAAATGAAGCAAAAGAAAAAATAAAATAAATGAAAAAATAAACTATCAAAACATGTCTTCCATTTATACAAGAATGTAGTGTATTTCCCTTTAATTATATAACTAATTATTTTCACTAAGTATCAATGATGACCTTGACACAATTCCTAACATAGAGTAGACATCACACTATTTTGTTGAATGAATTTAATCTCCATTGCTCAGTTTTCTTATGGCCTACAAAATTCATAGAGAAATTTAATCAAAATATTGAAATGGTATAGTGTATGAGCAGGTATACACAATGAACATATAGTTTCTGCTTAAACTATAATAAAATATAGGGGAGAATTTACTTGGTATCTCAAATTTCACTATGGAGACAATCAGGTAGTATGCAAATGAAGGAGCAGTGGCCAGACAGCTGGAGGAACCATGCCATTGTGTACAAGGAAGAGGATTCTGATACAGCCCGTTACTGAAATAGCTTTTTCAGGGGACCATTTGTTAACGTGGCATATTCTAGAATGTAAGTTATATAAAGCAAGTTTCACAATGACAAGATCTTTGCACAATGTCTCGTGCATAGTAAGTGCCAGTGAGTATATGTTGAATGAATGAATCCCAAATGTTGACAGATTCTCTTTATATCACAATAGATTAGAAGCTCTAAAGAGACTGTGGTCTACGTAGTTGTTTTCTGTTGTTGTTGTTGTTTAAACTCGTTGTATGAATTAGGGATTATTGATTTCCAGTGCAAAAGCAAGCAAAAAAAGTCAGTATAATATTAAACACTGTAAATCCAAGTGTATCCTTCTTGGCTGGGAACCGTTGGAATCCAGTAGATGGAGAAAACAAAATCAATGCCTTTTAGAAGTCTCTTTCTAAAGCAAATCAGGAATCTGATTATGTGAATTGTGAAATCAGCATTATGCAGGGCCTTGTATTTTTGCAAATAAGCATTTTGGAGACAACACCATGTCTCTCCAGTTAGGAGATTGCTGAGACAACTCATGGCTGAAATGGGCCTATTTATTGCTTCAACTACTACTTTATTTCGTTTCTACAAACTCTTCAAGTTACTTTTGAGTTTTCCTTAAATGGCTTTCAAACCATATACAAGACAGCCTTCTAGGACTTTGTGGCAAAATATCAGGATCCCTAAGACATAGTCAAACTTGCAAAGGGTCAACTGGAAACAGCTTCATTGAGGGATTTCACTGTTCCAGGACCATCTGCAGACCATATGCTCTTCATCATATGTTCAAAAAATTTGAGGGCTCTCTCTTCCTTTTTATCTTCTTGATTTCCCCAATTAAGTAAGTATATAAAGTGGCAAAGTTTTTAATTCTACACATCTAATAAGAACATGTCAAAGAACTTCATCATAATGGGTTATTGCACTATCCTTTTAACTGATTATATATATCAGTTATATATATATAAGACTATATTTCTTTTTAGTCTTACAACAGTCAATCTTGCAGCTTTCCTCATGTCAAAGTAATCTTCCTAAATAATTATTTTCATATCATTTGCTTACTAAATTAGGTTTTCAATGACTCCCACTTTCCAAAGATCAAATACCAAACTGCTTACCTGAGAGTGGGAAAGCCTGATACATTCTTCATTCTTTAAGCGCTCCATGCAAATAGTGCTACCAAGTCTTAGCTGTGCCTTTTCTTGCACCCCTCTTTAGCAGATTCCTACTTATCTCCAGGATTCAACTCAATTCTTGAAACAGGAATTTTAGGGGTAAAATAGGACAGGTTTAGGAAATTTTAGAGACTTGGGAAATTAAGAGGACCATGGAGGAAGCACAGGATTGCAGAGCAACAGAAAATATATTTCCCATAGAGTAGGGCAGCTGAAAGGTTGCAACTAGTACATTTCCATAGAATGAGGGAGCTGGGAGCAAAAGGTCTACATTTACAAAATAAAGGGAAGGAAGCCCTTCATCCAGAAGAAGAAGAAGAAAGCCCGAAGGGAATAGGAAAACAGTAAGGAAGGAGGGAGGGAGAACCTCACAAGTCCCACATCCCACATAAGGTTCAACCTTTGAGCCCAGGAGTAACTATAGTAACCAGTCTAAGGAAATAATGACCCATCAGAGGGGCTATCAAGGTACCAGGATCTGCAGCCTTTGTAAGCCATAGGGAAAAAAAACTCAGTGAGACCCTTTCCCCCTCCCTACATGGGA